GAAAAAACTAAAACACACCCGAATACAAAGTTCCTCCCAATTTTCTTCCTCCCCAGTAGTTCCTCCCCAGTTTTGTCGGATCATTCTGCGCTACTTGCACAGTCACAGACAATTCTTGTTGTGTGATGGGAAAGCTCGAAGAATCGGGCAAACCAATACCAACTGCACATCAAAATTCTTTGTCATACTTTTATTTGCGTAATCGAAGGAACATAAAATTTGTTTTGTGCATGCGGAACAGAAAGATCGTTGAGTTAAAGTTATCTTTGCAATGAATTTAACATAAGATTAGAAAAATACAATGTACAACAATAAACGAAACAAAGTTTGATATTTTAGTTTTGCGCCTTTTGTTCGCTGCTCTCGCCCAGCAAAACTTCAAAACTTGTGTTGCATTGGTTCTTGACTGGCTTCTGTGATCACAACAACTGTCCTCAATACTCCTCTTGGACGTTCGAGGAGCCTTCCTTTCGTTTTTTTTTCTAGTTGTTCGAGGCTCAAGACCACGTCGGCTTCTATTTTTGTGGCTGCCACCACCACAACATCCAATCACTCCGTGAATGTCCCGATCAGCACATCCACTTCTGACTATCCCAAAATAACTACATCACTAACCTGGTCGTCCCACCACTCCTTGAGTTTGTAGTTGAACACTCCAAGTGGAGGAGAAGTTTCCAGAATCATGAAAGCAGAGATGTTCATCAAATGAACGCCAACCGTCTCATCTAGTTCCATACGGACTAGAAGGCTGTCCACAAACCCATCATTGAAGTGCTGCTCCTGATATACCTCCCACGACCCATCTCCCAATTATAGCAGCCCACAGTTGACTGTTCGAGCTTCATCGTCGTCTCGACTCCTATCACTGGCCATCGATAGCTTGGGTTGGGCCGTCTTCGGTTCGTTCACCTTCTTTCCGTTTTGCATAGTAATCTTCAGTTTTGCGCCAACTGTCTCTTTATCCAGTGCTATTGTTTCCTTATTTGGTAGTCTCTGAAACGTTAGTGGGACTGAACTCATAGATTTACTCTCGTGGCAGATCATTGACTTCCTCTCATTCACAAGTAGTTCGAAGCACTCCTCGAGTTCCCGAGCACTGAGGACCACATCGGAGTCAAGCTCGCTGTTGCTGACAACGATCAATGTGAACAATTCCTTGAAGCTTTTAATCATGGCTGTCGCCCTGATGTATCCAAGTGCGTTTTCTTTTGTTCTTTTCATTCTTAGGCTCCTATCAACTTTGCATTGAGTCTCCGGACAGGGGCACAATAACTGAGGCGCTCAAAAAATCATCGTGATATTGAATTGCAATTGGTTGTATTGTCAACCTGGATATTCGTTATATCGTCGCAGGCTTTGCCCCATACGAAAGCTCGCCGCTTATCCGCTCGTTCGGCTCTGGGTACAATTATTACTCCTTCGGGCTTTCTGCGATCATCAGAGTGGGCCATACTCTGCCACACCCTGCTTTCGTCCATAGGAGGGCCAATCTCTTTCATTAATGGCACCGAGCTACAACCCGCAAGAATACAGCGCCGTTGATAGTCCACTCTGATTTCCGATTTTCTTTTCAGCGCGCTGAGACTTATTGACATTGGCCTGAACAAGTTCTCAACAACAAAAACTGCTACTTTTTCATGTATGACAGCACCGTCTTGTCTGGGACCACCGTAGTGCCTCAGTTCTTTCCAAGGATGCATCATTTTGAACTCAACGTAATTGATTCAGTTCGAACTGCCCACAGCTCCCAGTAGAAACGCATCATCTATTTTTGCGTTGAAAAACCTTTTCTTTGCATCTTGATTGTCCTGATTCATTTCATTTTTCGTGGCTCAGTCAATTTGTCCAACACTCGTCCATGATGAATCCAAAGATCGTTTTTCGCTCGATAAAGAAAGCGCACCCAGGAGCCCCAATGTAGATTTGTATCGGGGAGTCGTCTCCTGTAAGCACGCTTTCACTCTTTTTAATGGCCGCAGAGTTTCTCCTCTTTGTTCTGTGTAATAGCGGGGGACACTAAAACACGATATTATTCACAATCTCGAACGGGTTATGTTGGTGGTCAGATTAAATCGGCCGATCAAAGTATTATGCATTTTACCCCTTGGTTTATGCATTTTTCATTTGTGCTTCGAGCTAGATAAGCAAATCGTCGGCACAAAAAAAATTCTCTGAAAGGCAATAAAAACAATTTACAAGGCCCTCAATAAGCTTACTACTATTTAACAACCTCTATAACGAAACCAGCATTTCGTTCCGTTCAATCGATTCGTTACATCTCTCATCAGCCCTCGGTTGACTCAATTCGAAGCTCGCCTGCTCCAACAGCGAAACTTGGTCACACAACTAATTCAACCCATTACTAAACTCGGGTTCCAGTGCTCCTAGCTCACACCCGGTAAAAAACTCGGGCTCCAGCGCAACTCGTTCACACAATTAATTCATTCCGGCACTAAATTCGGGTTCTAGCGCAGCTCACAGACTCAAGTATTTCAACTCAACACTAAACTCGGGTCAAATCAGCTAGACTAATTCCAATCAACTGTGAGACACAACTAGCCTCGCTTCAAGCTTTAGCGTCCTCCACGGACCAACAATTCTTCTCGGCTTGCTCAACCGTTCTCTCTTAACCCGAGAACCAAATATTCGGCTCACTACCAATAAATGTTTGTACTCTTAGAAGCTCTCCGGTACCCTCCAATTTCTTATCTTTATTTGCACTTAGGTTTTTTTAAGTCACGCCATTCCTATCAGTCCTGACTTCCGCTCAAATCACCCGTCTACACAAATGTTACGAGTATATCCCTGCCCCTGTCAACTCTGCCAAGTGCCTTGTTTGGTTTCTTTTTTGAATCTTCTCACGCTTTTTAGAGACCCGGTATGCGGTAGGTGTCACAGTTTGACCAAGCAAACAAAATTCATAGGATTTTAGTCAACTAATTCCTGACTTCAGTGTTTTCAGTTCTTGAGTTCAACTCAACCTCCAAACCATGCTAATGTTACTCAGTGACTCTCCCAAGGTCTTTATTTTAATTAACCCGTTAGTATTCCGACCCTCCAAAGGCAGGGGAGACCCTTTTCACGGGTAGCTAATTCATTTCAGGCGTTCAAAATTTCCATCTGTACTCTGTTCCAATCCCTACCTTCTAGCTATCAGCAGAACCTAGTTCGTTTATCAGGGGGTCAAATTCAGCCAAAAAGTCACCTCCAGGGATCCAAGTAAACTCACCGTCCGTTCATACTATTTAGGAGACTAAATTTTCATGAAGCGGTCCTTTTTCTATCAGTTTCTTCTGGGGCTACTTTTCTTTGGCCTAAATGAAATCCTATTAACAGATCATTTGCCAAGCTAAATTGAACCAAATATTTTCAAAGTCAATTTTAAATTCACTTTTACAATGTTAAAGCTATATCGCTATCATCTGCTCTAGTTCCCAATATATAAATTTCCTCCCAGTTATTAGAAAGATGACCGGTTCCTTCTCGAAGGGTTAAGTTGGGGAATACATCAGTTTCCGATATTAATCTCCGGGTTTTCTTTAAAACTTTGAAGTCATAATGCCCCAAGGTCAACTTAAGGTCACCCAGGGATCACCCGGGGTCAAACTTCCATATTTGGGTTCAGAACCTTATGGGGGTCCTAACTACCAAGTTTAATTCTTATCCCTTTGATAGTTCACAAGTTATCTCAGTTCTAAAGTCCATTATCTCTATTACAGGAAAAAAAACTATCAACACCGGAAAGAGTCGCCGGAGGGGTTTCACTCACCAGATTTGTTTTCGGGGTTCGCGTTTTATGTCTATGGCCGTATTAAAATCATTATGCCACCGCTCATTAATTTGCGTAAATTGCCTATTTTCGGTCTAAGGGGGTGTTTTTTTTTTCAAGTGTTTTTAGCTTCCCAACCAAACGTTGGAAAAATTTAAAAAAAACACAATATGTATCTCCAAGTTTCAACTCCCTGCGTTCATTAAGGGCCGAGAAACGACTTACTGAAGTTAGGGGTGGTTTTGTTTGTTTAGGGAATTAAACCAGAAGTGAGGGTTCAAGGGTTCTGGGTTTCCAATCTTAAGCTTCCCTCAACTGGATCTACAACATATTAAAGTTCGATCCGATACCGCCGCTAGTTTCTATGTTCTGATAGGGTTTTTACTTTTCCGGGACCGTTATCACTTGCCCCCCAAGGGTGTGTGGGGGGGGGGTCCCGTTTTTCGTATACCCGGATCTAATAATATTAATACCGATCCTCTGAGTTTCATAACACTAGCTTTTTGATTCCGATTTGGGGGTGAGGGGTTCGCCGATTTTGTCAAAAGTTTTTTTCTGGCATAGAAGGGACGATATCTTCGAAGAATGAGCTTTTTTGAACTCGAGAATTTGTTTGCTGTACTACTTAACTTAATGACTAATCAACCTAACGCTCAGGTTACTCATCAATCTAACGATCAGGACTAATCAACCTAACGCTCAGGACTAATCAACCTAACGCTCAGCATGTAAAAAAGTAGAATCTCCAGTTCTACACAATCATAATAGAACTGTTTACATTCAGCTCTTAGCGAACTTAATTTAAATTGAACGCTGTGGTGGAAGATCTTAATTTGGTCTATCTGAGGAGGGGGGGGGGGGAAGGGCTAATATTTTGATCCTGTTGAGGCATAGACTTTTGGTCAAAATGCACCTAAACTTTCTCCTAATTTTTCTCCTACTTAAAATGATCAAAATTCGACTTTGAATTAATTTTTATGCTATTTGATTTAGTAGTCTCTCAATTTTACAAAAGTATATGAAAGGTTACCAATCATAAAAGACTCAAATCATTCAAAAACATTCTTATTGATAATTATATTTTTGAAATACTATATCTTCGAAAAGTTTCAGAAATTGTTTTTTTTCTGCTTTTTCAAAATGCAATGCGAAAAGTCTATTTTACCAGTCTATTTTGTAGTATGTTATTCAATCTAAGTACCTCAAATTGAAGGTCACAGTGTTTTTTTAGGTGTTAGTGAATGCGCCATACGTTCCCCCTCTGCCTGAGTCTGAGTCGTTCACAGCGTCTGCAGGAACAGCAACTCTCATCGCCATAAAACAGGAGGTCATCGAGCGAAAGTCAGTTCAACTCACTTCTTATAGTCAATGCCAAGTTTTTGCAATTTCGATGACCTTGAATCGGAAATTCAGATTTCTTGGCCATGGTCCACAAGTTCATTGCAAAAACGGGCCTTCTTTGCTTTTTTGTCAATCAAGAAATTACGATTGATCTAAAAATCAATTGATGAGCAAATTATACCAAAGTGAGCCTCTTATACAGCCCTACAAAAATCCAGAATATTTTAACCTCCAAAATTTTGCGCAAAACTTTTAAAATCTGTTTTCAAGCGAAGAATTGGATTTATTTATAGTAGAAATAAAATTTTTCAGCTATCAAACAAAAACATGTTCATATATAACATAATTTGGAGATTATACTTTCTGGAACTTTGTTGGGCTGTATAAGGGGCTCTTTTTGGTATAATTTGCTCAGATATTGATTACTAAGATCGTGCGTACTTTTGATTGACAAAAAGAAGCCAAAATGGCTCAGTTTCAAGGTAATATTGTGACCCGTATTTCGCAAAAAAATTGCATCATTATCTTCAATAAATTTTTAACAACTTTTGTTCTCTTCAATTTTGTCTTATTCAAACCCCAATTGAGAAAAAAACGCATTTAAAAATGCATGTTTTGTCCGGATATTTTAAATCAGCACTATCAATTGGCTGCCGGGTTTGTCTAAAGTATTCCGAAAATCTGTGCTTTTTGTTCCGATTTCCAAACAAATTCTTATGCTTGGTGTAATTTTTCTTCTGTCAACTTGGAAGATCAAAATAATAGTTTTTAACAAAATTTTTAAACCTCTGTGAAGACATCGACGCCCTGAAACCAAAATCAAAAAGATGTTTTACCCCCAAACATTTTTGCTAAGTTTTGGGAGTTTGAAAACTGCCATGCTCTCTACTAATTTATGTACGTTTTGAAGATTTTATCCATAAACCTGACAGTGTAATGCAAATGGTTTATGTGTGGCGAACTATTTTGCACAAAAAAAATTGTTTCAAATTGAATTGAGGCTAATATAAGTCAGGCTAATTTAATCCAGCTAATTGGTCATATTATTTGGTACGACTCAAATTTTCACACTTGATCTTTGATTTTGTCCAAAACTTATAGTTTTTCTATGTTTTTTTTCTAAAAAAAATCTTGTTTTTTTTTCAATAGGCGCTCATAAAATTAAGAGTATTGAACGTAGTGAGTACTCTTATATAGGTCTTGCTGATTTTCTTTTTGTTTTTTTTTTAGGAGAAAGTCTTAAAATTTGTTCACGCTCATTTTTGATTTTTTGCGGTTTGTTTGTGATTTTTTTGAAGTTCAGTGCATTTCCATTTTTAAAAGGAATGCAAAATAGAATATCGAGCAGCAAAAGTCTTAAGGTCACAAAATACGTGATTGACTTCTAATTTCCAAAATGGAAATTAATTATCAGATTTCCCTGCGAAAAAGAAAGTTTACCTTACGATCAAGTTTTCTCAAATTGGGTTAATTTTAACATAAAAGTGTCCATCATAAACTGTTGTGCAATTTCAAAGAGCTTTAAGGGCATCTGTTTTTTCTTCAAAATTCAGAAGTTTTTTTTTCAGTTTTCTTTGCGTTCATTACTCTTTTCCAACAGTTAGTTGGCTATGTTTTTTTAGTTATTTTTTCCATGCAAAAATAAAAACTACAAATAATCATCGGACTGGGTTATATATCATGTTGAAGCCCTTTCATTTGTGATTCGAACTACATGTGATAAGGAAAACGAATCGTGTAACTCAAGTTGAAAACAAGTTTAGTTCAAAGAGTTAAATTAACCTTTGAAAGCTAAGTTTCTCGGTTCTGCGAACCACCTCAATACACCGTATCTTATGTACGCAGAGCTTAACGCTAAAATAATGAGGCAATTCGATGGTCCAAACCAAATGACCTTGATACTAAGTTAATAACAAAATAACAGCATAATTATACATAACAATATGAGTCGCAAGGTCAGTGTGCAGCGAGAACAACAATTGATACTCCGAACATTGCTACTCCGAAAACAACAATTGCTACTCCGAACAATTGCTAATCCGAAAATCCTCGGGGGGGGGGGGGGGGGGGGGGAGGGGGTTGGGGCGTTTTTGTCGATCTCACCCTCCCTATCTGTAGATTTTAAAATATCCTCCGCTGCTTTCTGAACCCCTCTCCTTAAGACTTGGTCCGCTAATTTATTCCATTCTTTTGTAGTTATATCGCGGCTCTGAAACGTTTCTAATTTTTTGTCTGCTGGTGTGTTTCTCGCGATTTCCTTACTTTCCTCATTTGATTTCTCCGGTGTAGACGTACTGGGAATGAATATATCTGCAGTAGATGCCAGTGAGCCTTTGTCTTTTTCGTTGTTTTGTGCTGTTGTTGCAGCTTTTTTCCTACTTGACTCTTGACAAGTTTGCTTTTTGCCACTTTGTTTAGCTCCTTTGAGCACTGAACTTTTTGAAGTTTCCACTGCCGGTCCCGCATTATTTGGTTTTTCTGTTTTATTGAAAGATTTAGGCCCCCGTTTACCTCCGTATCCCTTGAAGTGATGTTGAACTGGCTGTCTTGGAATCGCGTTTCGGCTTTTGGCGGATTAAATATTTCTGGTGATTCAGGTATTTCATCTGAATCACTAATTTTTGTTTGCTTATAATTTTCCTTTTTCTTGGACTTGGTTTTAGGTACGTCACCGTGGGGACTTCTACTTGCGTTTCCTTTCTTCGGACTCTTATCTTTCTGCTCGCTGGTGTCAATTTTTGCTTGTGCGATATCGCTTCTTCTATATACTGCACCAGCAGCCGTTTTCACTGTGTGAGGCGTCTCTGAATGAATTTTACCTTTTAACGGATTTGTAAGTGCTTTCCCACTTTTCCTGTTGTCATTCCTTCTCAAGAGATTGGGTGACCTTTGTAGATCGTCCTCCTGGGGTTTATCTTCGATGAAGCCGTACTGCCACGAATACAACAGTTCTTTCCGCAAGTCTGGATTGATCTTACTGGTTTCATCGATTGTTCGCCTCAGATCATTGGTTGAGGTGTCCCTCCTCGTTGCATTCCACCGAGCATTCGCTTCCAAATAAGTTTTTAACGCTTTTGCCCGGTCTCAATCTCTCGCCGATTCCACTAATGTTTTGAAGAGTGGACTCACGTCCCGACTGATTTATCCCTTCTTGACGATCTTTACGCTGTCTCTCGATTGATCGATTCTTTTCTTTAACTGAGTTGCCGTTAACGCTGAACGCTCCCGATGTTCTTTATCTAAACGATCAGAATTTTTAATAAATGAATCCCTCAGGATTTTAAATTCAATTTTCGGGAGTCATCCCAAATGCGCTTCAAAAGGTGAACATTGTATCGTCTTTTGTTTGCTCCACCTAAGATCACGATTTATTGTTCCCAGTGCAAGTTCTTTTGACGTTAATTGTTCGTCCAATAACAAAACTCCTTATCTTCGTTTGATCGTTTGAATTATTCGTTCAATTAAGCCACAACCCCTGTGATCCCCTACGGGACAGAATTTTTTTTCAATGTTATGTTCAGCACAAAATTTTTTCATCATTTTACCTTTAAACCCCGAGAAATAATCGTTTCCTACGGATTCTGGTATACCATGTGTGTCAATATAAGTTCGAAAAAATTTCACTGATGATTTACCCCCAGTTGACTTAGTAACTTCGAATATCTATCTATGGCTACAAGTAAGTTTTTTTTCTTGCCCTTAGTACTTTCTAACGGTCCCGCATAATCTAGTTGAAGTTCTTGCCCCAACTGCGAGAGCAGTGGAATTGGTTTTGATGCGTTTTTCGGTATAACATACTTATCATTCTTATCGTAGCGAGTACAACTTCTACACTCTTCCGCCATATTCACAATATTTTGTGCAAATGGGGCCTTCACAGGTATCTGGACACATTGATCATTGCTTCCTGTCCTGGGTGGCTGCGGTGTATTCTTTTTAACACTGCGGGACGCAGTTGTCCTGGCACGATTAATCTACCATCTACTACAATGCAATCGTCCACGACTGACATCTGGTGCCATAACGAATTCGTGTAGGGCCTCATTAACTCGAAGCTATGCCGATCCTTTTGCTCAGTAACCCTTCTCAGTCGATCCATCCATGTATCTTCTGTGGTGAGTTCTGCTAGAAAATTTCTATCGAACAGTTTCGAAAGATTGAGCAAAATATTGTCTTCTCGGTTTTCTGCTTGTCTGAACTCACTCTGTCGCGATTTTCTTACAACTCCAGCAACTAGACTCACCTCTGGGCTTTCTGAAGTCGTATCGGCTGTAAGATCCACTTCAATATTTTTTGAAACGTTCGCATTTGTGGTATCTCCTTGAGGGCTTGTCATCTCCGTTGAAGCTTCTAACTGTAACAAGTTTTCCGGTCTGACTCTGTCCTTTCTTTCCGATCCCACTAGATCTCAAAATGACAACAATTTTTTTGGTTTCTCCCCTGACAATGCTGGTTGGTTTCTGTCCTTTCGTTTTTTTGGTGTTACTTTCCGCCATTCAACTTGCGGCATGTCAGAGTCTGAACTCTCACTTTCATTTCCTGTTGTCCCCCTCTGTACTGTTCTCGTTCTATGAAAAGTTGTTTCTGTTATTTGCTCCAGCATTTGATTTCGTCTCCCCTCCGAATTTTCAAGTTTCACTGTTTTCATCAACTTTTTGTCCATTTCATCTTTCGTAATTTTCTTCTCCTGCGCTGCTGCGAATTTTCTCTCTTTTTTGTTTCTTTTAATATCAACCGACTGTATACAATGAGATATCTTGTTTAAAGTGTTTTGATCGCAATTTGAGAGTCATGAGTTTTGACCGTTCTCGTTCCGGTCGAGCTCTGTTCGTTTTTGAACAGAACGGTTGCCATAGCGGGTGTTTCGTCCAATGTGCTTATTAGTTCAGATTATTCTAGACTGTTTTCATTGTTAATGAAAGTATTTGTATCTATTAGCCGATTGTTTAAGCAGTCGAGTGCTTCATAAAATTGATCGATCGATGCGACCACAAACTTTTCATCCAATTCTGACTCAGGCCACGGTTCGCCAATCGGGTCTCTAGACAAATAATCTACAATATCCATCTCTTTTCCTGGTATATGAACCACCTTGAATTGATAATGGAGCAGACGGTCTACCCATCTTGTAAGTCTAGATTGATATGTTTTATTAGATTTATGTTACCCTCACGCTGATGTGAGTGCTTTGTGGTATGTTGCTAGGATGAAATTTTTTCCAAGTAAATAATGTTTGAATCGATCAACTGACCAAACCAATGCAAGCAGTTCAAGCTCATTTGTTGAACACTTCTTTTCTTGAGCATTAAGATAACGTGATGCAAATGCAATCGTTACCCAATCGTCCCCATCAGTCGATTGATCTAAAGTTGCCCCGAGGCCACTATGATTCGCATCGCACTTTACCCGAGTATCTTTGTGTGGATCGTAGTTATTGATTTGTGCGATCCTTGCCACCGCTTTTTAATCTCTTCGAATATTAAGGAGTGTTGTTCCCCCCTTTCGAATTTTTTAACGGGCAATTTAATATTTTTCTTTTTCTTCTGTTCATTTTCTTCTCTAAGCAATGGTCTAAGTTGATCAGTTAGACTTGCTGCGTTAGGAATGAATTTCGATAAATGATTAATACTGCCCATAAACAATCTTAATTGTTTGAGCAATTTTGGTTGTTGTAGATTAAGAATTGCTTCCGTTTTTGTAACTTTTGGTGTTATTCCACTCGGTGAAAGTTTATAACCTAGCCAATTGACTTCTGTCTGAAAAAAACTCGCATTTTGCTAATTTTAACGCTAGATTTTCGTCATCTAGTTTTTTTTTAGTATATCAAGCATTAGTTTTTCATGTTCTGTTTTCTCTCCTTTAGAGACAATCAATATGTCGTCCAGAAAGCAAAATGTGTTTTTTGCATGGTTTATTGTACGATCCATTGCCTTCTGGAACTCTGCGGGCATATCTGCTAACCCGTAAAACCCTGTCAAAAATCTGTATGTTACCGTAACTTGACCGCCGACTATGTTGAAATTACATTGCTTAGCTGTTTCAGCAGTTAATCGAAGTTGACTGTACGCATACTTTAAAGCAAGTACCGTAAAGTATAGTGTGCCTTGTGTTTTGGCCGTTCTTATCTGACTCACTCCATCAATTAGTTCATCAATATTGGGAATTTGATTTTTATTTCTGTATAATTGTCTATTTATTGGCTTTGCGTCTAATGCCAATTTGATAGAGTCGTCTTTTTTCACTGTTATTACTATTGGAGCAATAAAACAGTCGCTTGTGCATTTGTCTAATTTTGTTATAAGACCTTCTGGTAACAATTTATCAAGTTCATTTTGCACTTTTCCTTGAATATGAATAGGTCTTCTTCTACCTATTTCCTGTATCGGACATAGCCGGTACTTGAATTTTGTGTTGACTACATGATGTTTAGACTCTCCCTGTCGGTCAAATAGAGAGGAAATTTTTTATAAAGATTTTGTTTCATACCTTCTGACTGCTCGCACAGTAGCACGTCAAACTTGAATCTATTAGTAGGGGCTGATTTCTGAGATGTATGTATGTCTTGCTGGTCTTTCTGTAGCCAGTAAAGATGCATCCGGAACTTTACAACCCGCTGAACGGATATTTGCACGTAATGCTCCTAATATCTGAATTGGGTGTTTATTGTAATCTACAAACTGCATTGTAAAGTTCAGGTTTTCGGCAGGAATGAATTTGATTTCGGATGATCCAACCAATAATTGTTTGCGGTCGTCGAATTTAAGATCGATACTGGGCTTCCTGTATCAATAGTCATGTTGATAATTTGGTTCTTTATTCTAACCAGCGCTTTCAATGCTTTTGTTTGATGCGATCTTGGGTCTCGCCGTATATCGATTTTTGTGATATCTTGGGTAGTGTTTATCCTGTTTGCATCGATAATTTTGGATTTCACCCTTTCCACCCCGTTTTTGGGCAATTTATCTACTCTTGGTTCTACCACCATTATCTCGAACTCGTCACAGGAATCAAAACTTTGAATTAGGTTGCATTACTCTTCTGAGCTAGACTTTTCTTCCCCAATTTCATTTACTTGATTTGAGCGACACATTTTTGCGAAATGGTTCGGTTTATTACAATTCTTGTAAATTTTCTCCATTGCTGGACAATTTTTCAATTGACATGAACCGAATGATTTTCCACATCGAGTGCACGGCTTCTGGTCTGATCGGGAATTTGTACTCTTATTGTCATTCCATCTCTTTTGAGATTGATTTTTATTCTGTCTTTTGTAATTTGAATTTCTATTACCCACTGTTATTATGGGTTCCTGTTTTATTTTTATCTGTGACTCCCGCATTTGGCCCGCTCCTGAGCCTCCATTCCCTGATTTCTGGAACGCTTGTTTGGTTTGCTTACTCTGCTCAAATTTATTGCCCGTTTGAATACTTCGTCTGGTGTGAAGGTTTCAAACGTCAGAGTATCTTGTAATGCTGTATTTTTCATTCCAAATTTGAATAAATCTCGAACCATTTCTTCTTCCAGACCACCCAGTTCAGCCGTAGCTGCTTGGGCAGTTAATGCCGCTTGGAACGATTCCAACGTCTCCCCTGGTTCTTGGGCTCTGGTGAAGAGTCTATATCGCTCGTACGTGATGTTTCGTGTTTTCTCGAATGATGCTTTGGCCAGTAACACCATTTCTCTAAATTCAAATCTGGATACTTACTTCCGCATGTGGGTTTTTCTGCTCGAATTTCTTTTCCCCCTCGATACCTAGTGCCTGAAATACGAGACGTAATTCGTTTCTGGACCTCATTATAGAACACATTATGTCCGACTTTAGGTCCGCGTTCGCTTCTTTCTTGGTTTTCGAGTATTACTTTGTCTCCTCTTAATCTATTTCTCGCTTGCCGGTTCGTTACTGCGTGTGCACTTTCTGCTTCTCCCGGTGTTTCGGGACGGGGCATCGGCTCACCAACAACTTCTTTTGGGTCTTCAAGTATTATCTCAGGATTCACATTCTCTTTCACCGTCACTGCTAGCTTAAATTGGTCCAAACTAATTTTTAAATTTCACGGTGGTTCAGAACTAGATGACGTCCAGAACACTGGAATACCCATGTCCGTTCGAATATCCTGTGCCATGAATCCTGCTGACTGCGCCATGTGATAAGGAAACGCTTTGTGTAACTCAAGTTGAAAACAAGTTTAGTTCAAAGAGTTAATTTAACCTTTGAAAGCTAAGTTTCTTTTCTCAACTTTCTCGGTTCTGCGAACCATCTCAATACACCCTATCTTATGTATGCAGAGCTTAACACTAAAATAATGAGGCAACTCGATGGTCCACACCAAATGACCTTGATACTAAGTTAATAACAAAATAACAGCATAATTATACATAACAATATGAGTCGCAAGGTCAGTGTGCAGCGAGAACAACAATTGCTACTGCACTTGTAGTAAGTGCTGTACCACACTACATTTAAAAGTTCCAAAAAAAGGTTTTACCAGTGTCGAGAAAAACCGGTTTGAAACTTTTGATTTTTGGCTTGATTCGAGCAAATAAAGCAAGCGAGCAGGCTTGCAAGCTGAGTTATGTCTAATTTAGGGCCTTAAAAATTGTTTGTAAACAAGTAAAACTAATTTTTGGAGCTTTTTCAGCTTCCTTTTGCTAACCAAAAACTTCGAAAAAATTCAAAATTTTTTAAACGTATATATTTTTTTAGAGCATTTTTCAACAATTTTTTTTACCCTTTTGCCTCTGCTACTACGATTGTCCAATATGCGTAAATTGTATTTTTTGTCATATCTTTTTATCACACTAAGCAAAAAAAACTTCACCAATCTCGAAAAAAAAACATTCTAAACCGTTATTTTCTAAAGACTGGTCGGAACATTCTGTGTTACTTGCACAGTAACCGGCTATCATTATTGACATTTGGAATTTCACAGTTCGTTCCCGCTGGGTTAACTTCACCACAGCTATTTTCGATCAATGAATTTCCAAAAAATTATCCCAGTCTTTTGAGAAGCTCTGGCATACTTTTTTCTTTTAATTACTAAACTTTAATTGAGTTGTATTAATAAAAAACTAGTTTTAATAAACGTCAAATTATAAAACCAGCCTATTTTCACCCTTTTCAGTTGTGGACAAACTCAAAAAATAACAATTTCAAGGTTGGTCGATCGAAAGCTGATGTTTGTAAAATTGTACTTTGGTGGTATGTTACTTGGGTACTATTTTACGACATTTATCCTTTGGTCAATCAACCCTGAAATTTTGACGCTCTAAGTATTCCTTATGCTTTTTAATGGCCCAAATTTGCCAGAAAATTGTTCGAAAAAAGTGCCAATAAACGGTTTTTCTTCAAAGTTAGTTGCTAATCGACTTTTTAGAAAAAACTTAGTGTCGGTCAGCCCAAACGGACCTTTCCGTTGGTGAGTGAATCGAACACCCGAGGGACAGAGGTACCTTCCCCTAACCGCCCTAAGGTCCGCCCCTGATGAGATAATTACTCATTATAGCTACGTATAACTGCGCTTCTTTTTATTAAATATTTTTACCAGAGGAGGAAAATACGGTGATTGCTTGTCTGAGTGGCCGAAGTTCATAACCCTAGACCAATCTTTCACCGCCGTATGGCCCCGTTATGACCAGAAGGTTTGCGAACATTACTGCGTTCAGTCCGAGACATTTCGAGAGTGCGGATGCATCACCGACTACTTTGGTAAGTAAATTTGTTATCCCGAATTGACGAAAAGATTAAATTCATTATGCTTATTTTTTTTCAGACAAATTTAGGCTCTATGAACTGCAGTTTTTGAATGATTTCTTTTGCAGCATCTGAAAAGTATCGAAGCTCTTAGTTCAAATATAGATGGATATTTTAGCTATGACCAATTTTTTTTAAATTAAGCTGTTAATTGTTCACCCCTGTGCAAATGGGACAGTCATGATATTTGAGTGTGCGAGTTTGCAAAACGCAAAATCAGGTATTACAAATAGAGCTCACATGGGATAAGTGATGTGTCATAAAAGAACCTTTTTAGCCCTGAATCGATCAAATTTCAAAAAACGAGAAAAAATTCGAATTTTAACTTTCTCACTCCAAATAAATGCGGACTAACCTAGATTAATTATTTTAATGTAGCGAACCTTTCTTTACGCATTGATTAGTTTTTGTTGCCATTATAAATGCGGTCAGAAAATGTGATCATTAAGATTGATATTTTGAAGCAGGCTTGCTAAAAAGACCGGTAATTGTCATAAAAATTTCATTTAAGTCGTCAAACTAATCAAGTTCGAGCCAAACAAAAGTGTGCTGCTTGCAAGTTGCAGAGGAGCTATCAATAGGTCTTAACAGGGCTGTCTAAGAAGAGTCTTTCTATTACCCGTACCAAGAAAACTCTTTATTTCTGACCTAATTTTTGGTCAGAACATTTTTTGTTGAAATGTTTGAATAAAGGAGGGATTTTTTAATTTTTTTTTAAATTCTCCAATCTTAATTCTGATCAGAAATTGATTAAATCTAGGCTGTTTCTAGCTAGAAAAAAGTCTTCTGGTGGTGCACGAACTCCTGACCTTCACTTTTTATAGGTGGTCGTTCTAACCACTATGCTACATCCCTTGATGGAGATTGTATAGTTTCAGCAAAATAAGATTTGTTATAGCAAGTGTTAGTTTGCATTGTATTGCGACTGTTATTGTGTATACTCGAAGCACCCTTATCTCGTTGCGGTTGAGCAGTGAACTGATTTCTGGTTATTTCTTTCCAGAAAGTGTTTGTTTCTAAACTAAGAAAAAAATGGATAATTTCGGAACAGAAAATTCAAGAAAACTAGGCTAGATAATCTATATAAATCTTCTATCTAGAAAAACAGCCTCCGTTGGGTACAATTGACTTTTTTCTAAAGTTTTTCTTTTTTATGTATGTAAAAAATTGTTTTAGTGGTTATAATATAATATCTGCATTTAGGAAAAAATCCATAACAACAAAATTGATTTTTCCAATAAGTCTCCTTGTTATAGGCGATTAGCGGTTCGAATTGTTTTTGGAAACAATAAAAAATAAACTGAATAAAGACTAATTATGGTTTATAGCTTCGGACGTGTTGTAAATGAGGCTCATTTTTATATACACAAAAACCTAACTCAGTAATAATAAAGTATATCTTTGATAATAGTGTTTTTGTTTGTTATTTCACGTAAGGAAACGAGTCGTTTGGCTTACGAGCCTCCGTTATTGTACTCTGCGACAGTGGAGAATTTTAAATTTTGGTAAAAAAATTGGAATAATAAATAAATGTTTGAAAAAGTTTTTGTAAGATAATTCCTATCTTACAGTTTTCTTGAAAGTTAAGCCATTTTCCTAAAAGTTTATTCAAAGAAAAGTTCACTGTCTTGTAACTAATTTAGACCCTTACTTTGTATGAAGTTGAAAGATTTTTATAACAAAAGTCTAAGATAGCAACTTTTGGTCAACCCGGACGAGTCATTTTGTTGAGCACAGCTCTTTTTTTGCAACTCAGGCGGTGGTACCAATACGGCAATTGCAATTGCATTTGCATATTAAAAGAGGGGAAAGAGGGAAATAGTGGGAGAATTTTAGTCCTGTTTTCGATCAGCATTTTGCCATTGAATAGGACAAGTGTAAAAAAATTGGATTTAAACTTGGGCTAATTTGAGTCCACTTATTTTGAGACGACTATTGGAACTGACATAGGGGTACAACTTATACAGTTTAAGTTTATGTAAAATTTTTGTTAAAAACCTTGAAACTCTTGCAACCGGTCTCTCTTCTAATCACTGTTCTTTCTATGTCTCGTCACGTCTGAAATAATAAGTGCAGCTTGCCTTACATTTCGATATAATACAATTGATCTTTACCATAACTTACCCTCTAAACAATGTATTTTTTTCCTAGTTCAACATTGCGCAAACAGCAGATAAAAAAAGAGGGCAGAACTTTTTGATCATTGATTGCTTTTGAAACTCTAAAACACCTGACCCAGCAACATACTGGGAGAAAGGGATCGTGAAATTCTATTGGGAGTTGATAACGAAATACGATATTGATCCGGAAGTTTTCTATTTCGCTACCACGTTAACAGCTCCCTCCCCAAATCGCCGCATTGCCGGGGACGTAACCGGAAAAAACGAACGGAGTCGGAGAAGAAACTTAAGTTGAGTCTTTATCTACGTATTGGAGACGAAGCGCAGCGGATTTTTCAAAAAAGGCAACGAAGAGTGAATATCAAAACGGAACGGTATCCTCGAGTGTTGGACTATGTGGAACGCGTTTTTAAAATTGACGCACAAAATTGACGCACTAAAGAGGTATGTTTTATGGACGTAAACAACGAGAGCACAAACGTTCGATAAATTGCACGCGGCACTCAGCGCCCTGGCGGGACGGTGCGACTTCACAAATGCGGAGGAGAATATTTCAGACATCCTTATCATGAATTTGAAAGAATCGGATCGCCAGCGGGGGTTATCGATTTCAACAAAAACGCCGGAAGACGGATATAGGATTGCCTTATCATATGAACGGGGGATAGAGTGTACAAGTCGTGCGCGGGAAAGCCAGCGGCATCAGCGCCATGCATCAACATCAAGCAGGAGCCAATGTGGAACATCCGACGGGGAGCAGGATACTTCCAAAACCGAGGGCGAGGCGGACGCGGAGACGGACCGGATGGCCAAACCCCCAAAAATGGTGCAATTGCGACGCCCCTAATATCATATTTGAACATATCAACATTTGCCCGGCAAAGAAAGCTACTTGTAATGCATGCAGAAAATTAGGAAAAATAAGACATGCCCTGAGACACTTCGGGGAACTAACCAATGGAGAGGAAGAGAACGTGTTGAGATGCTGCAGGAAGATGAAGAGCAACATCAGAGCAATCAAAATGTGGCAAGTCAAGTAGTAGCCAGGACCAACCGGTTCGATGGGTAAACCAGGCGACTGAGGAAGAATACGACTCGTTCATTGGATCGAGCGAATTGAAGGTTATGGCGGTAAAACGTAAGCAGAGAGTAACCGAACTTAAACTTCCCAATTCTAGAGTCCTGGCCAACGTGTGTAGTAAAGACCTTTTGATTTTAGGTTGACAGTGGCTCCGCGGTAATTATCTTTAGCTTACCAGAACTAACACGAGCCATTGGAAGAACTAACACGTTCCCATTAGTCTGCAGGATAAAGTAGATAGAAAAATAACGCGTCTAACTCAGGAGTGGCATATAATAAGACTCGAAGGATGTTCGGATAAACATTTCGTGTACCCAATCGTAATTACTGTGAAAAAAATGGTAGTATAAACTTGGCCTCAGAATTAAGAGAATTAAATGAGCAGGTAAACGATAACAAGTAGCAAATGCCCAACATAGACGAAATGATGAACGGAATAAGTCAAATAATTGCAGAAAGAAAAAACGGAGAAGTCTATGTTACAACTTTCGAGTTTACGTACGCGTATGGGCAAGTAACCCTCGAAGCAAAACAAGCGAACAATGTGACTTCTCATTAGTGAGGTGAAAATCTACCGGTACTTAACATTTTAAGAACGGCTTTTATGAATCAACAACGATGACCGCGGTATTTCAAAACGTGATGGATACCCTAACTAAGGAATTCCCGCAGGCACACGCATTTATAGATGTTTCAGAGGGAGCAAAAATTGAACACATTGCGTTAGTAGAGAAATTACTTACAAAGCTCGACATAACAAACTCCGGAAGTGCGAGTTCGAGATATCAAGTTTCCAATGGCTGGACAACCAAATAAGCAGTACCGGAATTACACCATTACGCCAACATTTGAAATTGCTAATGGATTACCCGCATAATTTACACAAGTTTCTACCAAATCTTGCGGAAATTAGCGCAGCACTAAGACACCCTCTAAGCCAACATCAAGAATTTATTTAGACAGTAGAATGCGAGACAGCGTTCGATTCTTTTATCGGGTTGGTGGATCGGTGACGATTATACCTGAGCTCAAACATTTCGACATACACCGGCAAACAAAAATTATGTGCGATGCAAGTCACGATGGACTAGGCACAACGTTGGATTAAGATAGCCAAGAGTGTTGGAAACCTATATCATTTGCATCAAAATACCTAAATTCCGCGGAACGCTGATATTCGAGAAACGAGCCGTCGTATGGGCTACAGAACATCATGAAAATTGTTTTTACGGGCGCTGTTTTACAATCATATCAGATGACAAAGCAGTACTAAGGCTAATAAGTTCTTCGTCAAAAGGTAAAAAGAACTTTTTTCAGCAGATTAAGTCAATTGTACGACCAATTATTTTTTTATGATTTTAAAGTAAAACATCGCCAAGAGTCAAAAATGGGGATGGTTGATTATTTATCAAGATACACCTTGTCGGATGCGTCGCCACTTTATAACTCTAAAGTTACAAGTGCAAAAATAAATATGATAAAAGAGTGTTGAATCCGCCAGCGGAAAAAATACAAAGTATGAAAACCGAAGGGATGTAAAATTTCCGAACATAACGCGCCAAAATCGAATGGCAGCAGGCGGAAAAACAGGCAATTACGTTTCAACCAATGGCAGCACAAAATTCCGTGAAAATGCCAATACATGGCGTAAACAAAGCGAGCCGACCGATGGCGTAAAGTCATGCAGATTTCAGCCAATGGCTTGAGAGATGTTCACATATCGCATTATGTATGCACGAGCTTGGTTCTCAAGA